TGGTTGGTGATTCAAGCCTTCTTTGTATCTTTTGGGTATTTGATAGAATGATTCTTTGTAAAATGTATGTTTTATATAATATTAATTTTATTTATGAATCAATTTGCAATCTATGTTTTGTGCAATATAGGTTTCAAATAATTGAAATATAGCACATAATAATATACATTACAGCAGCATTAACAAGCATTAACAAAATGTCACGAAACAATATCCACCGGCACATATAATGTGTTATCATTACAAGTTAGACATCACAAAATGTTTGCTATAAAAACAAACATAATAGCACGAGTGAAGCGCTAGTTAATAATATCCACCAACACATATAGTGTGTTATCATTACAAGTTACACAGCACGAAATATTTGTTATTAAAAATAACATAATAGCAAAAATAAAGCGCTAGTTAAGAATATTAAATAGCTGAGTAATAACGCTATAATAGGTCAATTTACAATAGCGCGTAAAAACTGCTACGGTAGGGGGGGGGTCAACCGTAGCTCCTCATTATACAGCGTTTGTAGTTTCGCTACGAAATCCCTTTAGTAGCAGTTTTTGTGTGTTACCGATGCTCATTTTTTTTGTAGTGAAAAGAACAACTCTAAACCAATGATCGATGTATAAAGAGTATGACTGTTCCGCTAGTGTCTCATGAAGAAAAACTATCACCTGTTGGGAACATCTGGTTGATATACTCTAAAGCACTCGACTTATCCATGGCCTGTAATTTGTATGATGAAACCAAAATCACTCGAAATGGACGAACTGCAAAACAAAGATCAGGGACACTTTTTTAATACGAATGAGAACAAGGCCTTATGAAATTAGGCTATCTACGTCACAGCGATCAAGTCGACGCAACCATTAGATCGTGATTCGGACCAATTAAGGTGAAATGAATTCTCCAATAGATCGGGAATAATTAAAAGTATCAGTGGTCTAAGAACGAAAATTGAAGAAGCTTACGCAATTTGAAGGATAGAGTGAACGCAGAGAAGAGAAGAGTGAGGAGGAACATAAACGACGGCGATGACCGCCGGCGACGGAGATGGGATCGGCCCTTTTGTGTGCGGAGAACGGACTCAAACACTCAGATCAGAGAACGCTTGGAGAAACGGTGGAAATCCTAGGAGAAGAAATCTGATTTTCTCCCAAAATGAAATTTTTTTTTGTCTTCCAGAATTTTGAGCCACTACGAAGGTGTCACGTGGAGCGAAGAACAAGTCTAAGAACGCTCTTGGGCAAGAACTATCCACTCTGATCTAAGCCCACTATTCAATTTTTTCTATTTTTATAATCTTAAGAACATGGCCCAAGTTGTAGCGATGCATTTGGTCTTAGGCTTTCTATCTCGTGGTCAAGAATTTCCCACGTAAGTTTATATATATATATATATATATATATAAAGTCTGAAAGTCATCTGTTTTTGTCAAAAAAAAAGAAAGAAAGAAAGTCATCTGTTTTTTTTTTTTTCTTTTTTCAATTCTCTGAATGTGGAAATACTTACAAAAAAAACATGAAAAATAATATATACTCAGATGGGAGAAAGGAGAAAGGAGTGAGCAAAGCTGGTGTCCAATTCTACCACGACCTCATCGACGAGCTTATCAAAAAGGGTAACTACTATAAAATCATATTATTAAATAATATGTTTTCATTTTTTTAATTAGTTATTTCTAGTCAACTCCTTGACGTTTATATATCTATAGTACAAGTATATTGTCAACCTTACTTTGTTTATATATACATACACTGTTATTAGATCTTATTCCTCTTGTGACTGTCTTCCACTGGGACACCCCAAGTGATTTAGAAGACGAATACGGTGGCTTCCTAAGCCAAAATATTGTGTAAGCCATTTTTGGATTTTACATAGAAACTCAGGATTAGTATAGATTTTGGAAAATGAGTATTTTCCTTTTATGTTTTGTAAACCACAGAAAGGATTTCATGGAATACGCAGAATTTGTGTTCAACGAATTTGGTGACAAAGTAAAAAATTGGGTCACTTTCAATGAGCCATGGGTCTTTAGTCGTGCCGGTTACGATGAGGGAAAGAAAGCACCAGGACGTTGCTCTAAGTACCAAAATGAATTCTGTGAAGATGGACGATCAGGATATGAAGCTTACCTCGTTAGCCATAACCTACTTATATCTCATGCCGAAGCTGTTTATATTTTCAGAAATAAATACAAAAAGGTATATTACCACAAGATTTTAGTTTCGATTTTAGAATTTATTAAAAAATTAATAACTAGGATTTGAAAATTAATGTGTTATGTATGGTTGCAGTGCAAAGGTGGGAAGATCGGAATTGCGCATAGCCCGGCTTGGTTCGAGCCACATGCATGATTTTAATGACGCACAAGATGGTGCATCCATTGAACGTTCACTTGACTTTATGATGGGATGGTAATAAGTACTAATAACACCCCACATTCTCTTTCTAACTATTTCATACAGTGTTTTTTTTTTTTTTTTTTGGTTACTTAATTAT